GGGGGGGGAGGAGAAGTTGCTCCAACTGTTGCAGGATGAGGTTGATGTGCGTAGCATGAAACCATAGGGACAATCAGTCAACTCAACATTGAATGAACTAGGCTTGATCTCTCAGAGGGGAAGTCATCGGAGTGGGTAAAGGAGAGTGACTTAGGCGTTGATAGTTGTGTGGCCTGGGGTGCAAAGGCCCGAGTCATCAATGCATGTATTGTGTGGAGAGAATTCTCTGTTATCCTCTGTGAGCTCTAAGGAGCTCAAAGGAAAAGTGCGACGGACAGATGAGACCGTAGAAGCTCCACGGCAGCGAGTGCTGGCCGTGCAAGAATTATTAAGGACAACTTCACGCGGCTGAAATGATCATGCTCAAGCTACCACGGGGCGCTCAAAAGAAGAGGCTGCTATATGAGGTCAAGAAGGTCCTCGTCGAAATCAAAGGTTCGGTAGAAAATGCCGTAGATAGAAGGAAGTGTAGGCAAGATTAAAGAACAGCGGACCCGATCGGACCGGGTTAACGCTATGTAAAACAAAAAGAATACCAGTTATCAGATTTCATTGTGTTTAATTTCCTTACTGCCTTTGCCAGCTATGGCAGCCAAGATTCTATCTACTGCTACCCTATGTTTGATAAACAGAGAAGTTCTGAATCCAAAATCGGGACGCACCTGCATTGATTTGATAAGCATTTCTCTACACACATCCTTATCTATTACTGGAACTCCATTCACTTCAACAATGTGATCCAACACTTTCAGTTGAGATCCACACATTGAACCTAATAACGAGCACTTGCGTGAGACTTACTCCTTCTCTAACGTCTTGGGGCTGTGTTCAATACCGTCTGAGGGATGCGTCCACGCAATCGTCTTCGATTCAGAATCGTAATGGCGCAATGTATGCGTGTGTAGCCTATACAATGATTTAAGGTGGCAAGCCAATGTTGGGTTCAGCGCTTTATCCTCCCATACGAGTGTGGTACCTATTAACCGACCTCGGGGGAAAGGAAGGTTGGTTGGTCTCAGCAGATATCGAACCGAAATTCGAGCCCGTAACCATGTCTGTGTGAAGTGTGCCGCCTGCCTCTATACCACTTTCGCTATTGTCGTCCGGGTCCGGTGATTTCTTCCCGAAAGCGACGCCACGCTTGCCGCATCCGATCGCGCCTCAACCAGCCGTCAACTCCACTACGATAGTTTGAGGCTAAGTCTATCGTAAGCCGAGGTGAGCTAACGATATACAAGACGGATTTATGTATAATTAAGCTTCACTTGAATTGAACTGAGTGAATTCAACAGGCATTTTGAAAATAACGATTTCAAGGCATTGCATGCAGTTTATGTGCTTAATCGCTTATCATTCCCACATCTATAAAGAGGCACTCAGCACCGTCGTTCAAGTAGAACATTGACTCGGCGAGCGAATAACCGATGACTATTTCGGGTGCCCACCTGCCTTCACGTGAGGTAGTGAGAAAAGTGTAAGATGAATTATAACTCAGAAGGAGATGTTCGAAAGAGCTGATAGACAAGCGGGAGGTATAGAAAGTCGAGTGGGAGTTTACTAGTCTATCGAATTCATGAAGTAAGCAAATCTACCCCATGAGAGAGCTCACCTTTTTCAGACTTACTGACAATGACTTGATCGTTGAAATGCTTGATACCAAGACCGAACCGCACTCCTTTCACAAAATGGATGGTTACTATAATGTAGTTGAACCTGAACAACCACTTGATCAGATAGTTCTACGCTCAATAGTTTTAGTTATAACTCAATTCCATTAATGATTGGTATCGAGGCTGACGTTCCCTGACCCTTTTTTCTTCTTAAGCCCGTCCTTCCACATTCGTTCGCAGCTTGAGCGCGACGAGGAAGATGTCTTCTGCGGTGCATAACGATGGTTTTCTCGATGTGAACATGAACGAAAATGAACTTACAGAACTCTTCTTCGTCCTTGAACTATCTGAAACTTGTGTCTTCTTGAGAGCTCGAACATTACTCATCTCAAAAGTGTTAGTAGAAATGAACCTCTCCTTTCACTAGTCGCATATAAAATGCCTGGTAGTTATTGGTTGGTGTTTGAAACCAAAGATAAGCGATAGCCGATTCTATTTCCGCAATCTCATAGTGCATAGAGCTTGTTAAGAACTGGTTAGTCGGCAGCAGGTGATCAAGGTGATACACATATATTGTTGGTAACGAAATAGCAATGATCCGAATGGCACCATCAACATAGAGCGTTTGAAGAAATCTAGAAAAAAGTTGTGATACTGCTTTGAAGGCGGGAAGAGCAAACGATTTATGAAGGAGAAATAGAAAACTATTTATGAAGGAGAAAAAGAAAACTATGTAGTTGTGAACAGAAGTCAAGAAAATATACTCACTGGATTTTCATGTACCGTAGATGACTACTGACGGGTATTGTAGACCGCTGGTGATTCATTGATGCTGCTTTTCTTCCCTTTCCCTTTTGACATTGGTTCGTTCTTGACTTTCCCACGGTTCACATCCTCCTGACTGCTTCCTTTACCCAAGAAATTGATGACGGCAGCCGCGATGAATGTTTTCAAGCAAACTCCCGGTAGCCAGTGTCCACATCGAGGGCTAAATTGAAGAAGCTTTGAACGGTTCTCACCTGAGACGAGAGAGTATAGACCTTACCAACTGCGTCAGTCTCACGCAGAAAAGACTTGGTGGACTACGCACAGACTCGCCATTGGTATGAAACCATCTGAGCTTCGGAGTTGTTCGTTCTTGCGAGTGCTTGTATTAAGTTGAATTCTTTAATTGCAATAGTTTTCACCTCTCCACAATCAAAAGTCGGATTTCGAAAAGGGATCACAGAATTTTTTTGACAAAAAAAAAACACAGTATCAGCAATGTGATGGAGAATATGTGAAAGACATGACAAATTCTTAATAAAATTAGCAGCACCACGTACGTTTTTTCCGGGAGAAACGAAAGGTATGCATACGTATATAGAGTTCAAAGCCAACATAAATCTACTATCAACCAGTTTTATTCAAAGCCATGCCGAGATTCATTGAGAGTCGAACTTGGGTACTTGAAAAGTTAATATAGTTCTTCAAAGCAGAGTCGGAGACTATACTCAACACTGAACAGAANACAATGACTTGATCGTTGAAATGCTTGATACCAAGACCAAACCGCACTCCCTTCACAAAATGTATGGTCACTATAATGTAGTTGAACCTGAACAACCACTTGATCAGATAG